TAACTAGAATTAAAAACTTTTTAAAAAGTTAAAAACAAAAACCCACAGCAAATCTTAAGGTATCTACTAAGAAAATCGAGATTCGGGGAGTTATAGTGACTTACCCAAGGTTATACAGCTAGTCATTGGTGGAATCAAGATTTGGATCAGGACGGTCTGACTTCAAGCTCATGGTCTTTAGATGCCATATAATAGTGTCCTTTTCAGTTGGTTCCTAACTCACCGGTGACTTGGGATCATTCCTGTGAAGGTACAAGGGCTTACCAATTTCTGTGCCCACCTCTGGAGCTCTTCTGCATGGAAAGGGGCTGGGTTCTGTTCACATAGAGATCCATGGGGTTTCCAGAAAATCACAGGCCAGCAGAGCAGGAAGGAACCTCTTGTGTCATCCAGACCATCCCCTGCTTTACAGATGAATGAGTTACTTACACAAGATCACACAGGCAGAGGGAAATAGTCTTAAAACTGCTCTCTACCTAACACTGCCTTAGGAAGAAATTGTGAACTTTGCTGGCAGATCTCATTTATTCATCAAATTGTTTAGCAGATTTGAGCCATTTATATAAAATCATGAGATTAGTCAATTTTAATCAAATACAGTATGAAATAGCCAAGGATAGGTCTGTTGTGCAAACATCGTGCAGCCTCAATTACCAAATGGCCAGCCCCTCACGTTTATCACAAGAAGCATTAAATTTCTTATATAACTTATTTTCTATGCCAGCATTTTGAACAGTAAGAAATAAGGGAAAGTGTAATCTGTTCTTGTCACAGAAATTGTTACATGAAAAAGGAAAAACACATCAAATTTCCACATCCATTCTCCAGACTGAAAACATGGTGTTCCTCCATAATAGCAATAGCATCCTTAAAAAAAAAATTGTAATTTCCCTCCCTCTTCCCAAAGGGAATCCCTGTTAGCAGTTTCTAAGTATCCTTCCAGGGGGGAAAAAAAAATTGTCATATACTAGCCTATATATAGGTTTTATTCTTTCACAGTTAATTCTTTTATCCACCTGTGATTTTAATGTAGCCTGTGAAATTATATAATTACTTTTATTAAATTGGCAATCAGTTGGCAATCGGTTGGAAATGGCTGGTTGCCCTAATCATTCTGTAAGGCTGATTAGGCCTCCAATCCTTGATTGAAACCAGTGTCTACCTATAGAGTTTTGGCTAGAATTTTTATGTACCTCTAAGCCATGTTCATTGTAGGAAAGCTTCTAGTTGGGCACATTAGGCTCTTTTGTAAAAACAAAGGCACAGAAGTTATGTCTCTTGCCCTCTGGCTTCTGTTATCCAATGTGTCCACTGCCTTCTCTGTGAATTGGATCACGGTTGGCAACAGTGACCAGAATTAAATGAAGTAAAACATTGAAAGGAAGATAAAACCCAAAGGTGATATTTTCTAAATTGTCTTAAATAACTTGAACTTAACCATGAGGAAATAACAGACAAGCCCAAAGTAAAAGACATGTTACAAAACAACTGGCTTGCACTCTTCAAAAATGTCAATGTCATGAAAGACAACGAAAGATTATAGAGTGTCCTGGATTAAAGAAGATTCGAGAGAGACGTGCCTGCCAAATGCAGTAGGATCCTGGGTTGGGGGAGGGAAGGTTACCATGAAAGACAGCATTGCACTAATAGGCGAGATTGGAATGTGAGGTGTATATTAGATAATTTTCCAACGTTAAATTTCCTGCATTTGATAATTGCACGGTGGTTAATCCAGATCTCCTTTTTGATGACATTAGCAACCAAGATTCAGGAGTTTTAGCCCACTGGAATCTTCTGTGGAGGAAGAAGAAAAAACAGCCTTGTTTTCCAGTAGCTTGTAAAAATACTAACTGACATGGTGAACTGTGGTGCCCCCTTGTGGTGAGAGTTCCCTCCATTCTCGGGACTGACTTCAAGAACTGGAGACTTTCACTGTCACCTCACAAATATTTTTCAAAGCCTATTATGTATCCAGCATCTGCTAGATGTCGAGGATACATAAGCTCCTTGTGGAGCTTCCAAGCACACACACAAATATGGAATCACATACGGAAAAGAGGGTTTGATGGTGTCCTATTACAGAGGTTGATTATCTCTAAAACTTGGTGTGAAACAGAAGGGAGGTGTCCCTGTCTTTGGTTCATATTGAGTTTGGGGCCGCCCTTCCCCATGACTGTTGGACATTACCCATTCTGGACCAGATGGTCTGGGTCTCTGCTTCCCTCATCACTACTTATGATTGGTAATAATACAGTTAGTGCTTTCCTAGCTGTGACTTAAAATAATAATTTTTTTTAAAGTACACCTGAGAAAAAGTGAGATCGCAGTAAATCAAGCCCACCTCTCTGAGGGACACTGTGTATAATTTGTAGCCGCAGAGGACCCGACAGACCCCACCTGGATCAGTGGCCAGTGGAGAGTGCCCTTCTCCCTGCCTGTTTTGTCTGTCAGATTGCTCATAGCGGCGTCTCGCTTCGAGCTGTAGACAGCTGGATTAGTGTAGTGACCTGAGTGAGGGGCTTGTCTGTGGTGCTCACGATTGTCCTTTGTGTTGGAGGCACTGAGCAGTGGCCCATGGTGAGGGACACAGGAGGAAGACAGTAATGAGGTCACGATGTGGAGGTTGGGGGCTAGTTTACCCAACCCAGGTGATGAAACAGTGTTGCACAGACTCACCCACATGGTCTGGTGGACTGTTTGAAAAAGGAAGAGGACAGTTTGCTCAAACGGACACAGTTCTAATATTTGGAGAACTCACCTAAATAATAGATAATAGCAATGCTTGTAGGGTGCCTGGGTGGCTCAGATGGTTAAGCGTCTGCCTTCGGCTCAGGTCATGATCCCAGGGTCCTGGAATCGAGTCCCGCATCGGGCTCTCTGCTCCTTGGGAGCCTGCTTCTCCCTCTGCCTCTCTCTCTCTCTCTGTCTCTCATGAATAAATAAAGAAAAATCTTTAAAAAAAAAAAAATAGCAATGCTTGTAGAATAGAAAATGTGTTTCTAAGTGTTGGGTGTAGAGATTTTAAACATTTTGTTATGGATAGTGTCTTAAACAAAAGGAGAGGCAGAACAGTGTCATGAGTCCCATGTATCCATCATCCATCTTCTACTCTCCCCTGGATTATTTTGACATTGTATAACTTAGGGGTGTAATCGTAATTGTTGACAGTCATCTTTTTTCTCTCTCACTGGAAGAATATAGCTCTGTGATGTTTATTTGGGTTTTGCTGGTTTATCTCGCCACCCCCCCCCCACCCCTGTGAGGAAGCATAGCATAGAGAGTCAGAGCATGGGCCTTGGAACCATAGTACCTGGGTTAGAATTGGGCTCCGCCTTCTGCCATGTGACCCTGGGCAAGTTGGTAAACCTCTCTGGGCCTCCTGTCTGTAAATGGGGAAATACAGTCATAAGTGTGTGTCCGCTCTCCCCATCGTTACTCTATAGGACCTCTGTGTGCACTAATAGGCTGTTTTCACACCTGCTTCTTACTTAACCCCACAACAATCCTGAGGGTGCCATAGTATTTTACTCAGGAGGAAGCTGAACCTGAAGTAGGTGAAATCAGAGGTTTGCAGACTTGTCTGCGGAGCTTCAAAAGTTAACTGAGGCCTGCTCCACCACGGAGACTGATTTAATTGGCCTGGCATGTGGCCGGGCATCGGTATCGTTAACGATCCCCAGGTGACTGTAAGGTGCAAAGACACGCGTGGGACCACACTTGGGAACCCAGAGACAGGCAGAGCCCCCAGTACTGTAGTCCTGAGTGCGCTTTCTGCCCTTTCTGTGTGCTGATGTTGGCGTGGGAGCCAGGACGTGGCTGGGAAGGTTTATCATCTGGTTTCCAGGGCCTCCCAGAGCCGAGCCCCACCCCACACCCTCACTGATCAGAGCAGATTTCACACCAGGCATTATGCGGAAAGTTTTGTTTCTGTTTGTCTTAGTTTTAATCCCAAGTCCCTAAACAAAACAAAAGAAGGGAAAGTAAAAACTACAGAGCCTCCGTCCCATTCCAGGGGCTGTCTCAGGAGACAGGATGTAGCAGTAGCAAAAACCAGTATTCTTTGAATGCATTTCCATCTTCCGCTGGTCAATGAAAATAGTTGTTGATGTTTCTATCAGTTCTGTATTGCCATAGTGATGCTAAGTATCGATCACAGAACCTCAGTGGCATACAGAGTAAGCACAGCTAACACCTGTGGGTCCCCTGGGGGTGGGCTGCTCTGGGCCAGAGTTGCTGGGCTGGGTGGCTCTTCCTTACGGGCCCAATGGGCTAGCCAGGGAATGTTCTCTCATTGAAGGCAGAGGTACAAGGAAACCAGCCTTACTTCTGCATGAGTGGGCTGGAAGTATCCCCTGGGTCATGTCTGCTCATGTCCTGTTGACCAAAGCAAATCACATGACTGAGCCCAAAGTTAAGGGGTAGGGAAATATGCCCCATTTGCTTTGAGTCCAAGCACTTCACGTGGTCAAGCCTAACATGAGTGGAAGGGACTGCGCTCCTCCAGTGGAAAGGACAGGGTGGGTGGTTTTGAACGGGAATCTGTTACAAATGAAAACCTGGAAGTTGCCTTCGTAAGTGTTTATGGTAGCAGAAAGTTGCAACAGTTTTAGGGATTAAACATAGGAAGATACTTAGATAAAATAGAACACATATACACAGTAAAACACAAAGCAGCTATTTAAAATGATGTAGCAAATATGTCATTGAAAATTATTCATGCCACAAAATGGGGGAAAGCAGATTATGAAATGTTATGTTGCCAATTCTGAGAAGAACTATGTATATTCATATTTCAGTAGGTTAAAGACGCATGCCAAATTGCTAATGATCGTCTGTGGTAGAATTATGGGATACTTTTATTTTCTGTTTCTACTCCTGAATTTTCTACACTTTCTGTGATGAATATACATTACTTATTGCAATAAGAAAAACATTTGCAACTGTTAGATGTGGAAGTTAAGATTAAGCATTCTTATTCTTTCTTTCTAACCTGTCAATAGGCAGCAAGATAATGGAGAATGGCCTTCTCTTCAAAGAGCTTCTGCAGACTCCAAATTTTCGAATTACTGTGGTTGACGACGCAGACACTGTCGAACTTTGTGGTGCTCTTAAGGTAAAGTCGGCCTTGTTACTTCTGCTCAAGGAGAGGAGCTAATATGCCCGGGGCACTGTCCGAATTACCAAATCCAGTCCTGAAGAGTGGGCTCTGTGTTCTGTGCTTGTACTTGAGAGAAGAATACTGAATTGAGAGCCTTGTGTATCACTTCCTGCTTTGCCTCAGCCTGTCCTGGGTGGTTGGACTTCCTCTTCCAGGCCGCTTTGCTTTCATTTGTAAATTGGGGGGGCGGGGGTGGGGCATGTGGTGTTTTGTTGTTTGGGAAATTGGCAGCATTGATATTTAAAAAGCATGGAGGGTGTCTTGATTGTAGAGTTTCACAGGGGACCAAAGCATTCTTTTTTTTCCCCCCTATGAATTCATGTATTTCTCTTACACATTGTCTTGAGTGGGGAAGGGACTTACTCCCTCTGAATTATGATACTCCTTTGGTTTGATGGCTTGGCTGGTTGTTCTTTTTAAAGGAAAAATAGTCTGCTGCTGACAAAGGCTTTTCTAGGAATAGTTTTATCTTTATCCGTAAAGGGAAATGGTCCAGTGAAAGAAGCTTCTATTAGTCGGTGGCTTGGAAGGGTAGAGGGAAGAGTTTCCACACGGGCTCCTGACCTGTTCCACTCTGCCTGTGGAAGTCTTCTTGGGGGGGGGGGCTCTCTAGCCTGATGCTGGGCAACAGCCAGTGGGAAGCTGCGCTGCACTTTCTGATCCTCCCCCCCCCCCACCCCAACTGGAATCAGCTGCCTTCTCAAAAAAAAGCCTCGGTGTGAATGAATGCCCCCCTTTGAGGCACTTTTGAGTCCTTTCTTTTGCAGCAAAAGCCGCTTTTCAGGAATTTGAGCACCTCAGGAAGGAAGTCAGGCAATCGGGCTTGGGCTTAGGCTTTGTCAGGTAAAAATTGCAAAGACAGAAAGTATGCCGCCAAGACGAGAATCCAAAGAATGCCTTCCCGTTCTTTCTCTCGATTGTACGTCCGTCCTTTTTTCTCGTCAGAGTTTAAAACCACTTTGTAGAATTCCTATCGCATGTGTTTGTGTGGTCACGTGTCCTTGTACAATGAGGATTTTAAGAAGGAAAGCCAGTGAAAGGCTCGGGCTCCCCCGGGGGCAGCACACGACCCCGTTTTTGAGTGTGGGGGGGGCATTCTCCACGTTACGGGCAGGCCCTCTTACACAGTTAAGGCACTGGCTTTGGCTGCCTTGTGTGTTTTTTTGGTTGAGATTTTTATGTGCTTTTACTAGTCCTTCGTTAAACTAATGACCACTTGACAGCAGGGGCGTCATGGACGCCTACTTGCCCAGCACCAGCCTATGATGCTCCAGAACAGTTTTTAAGTGACTGGCTATTTGGGTGGTGGATGGAGAAGCTGTGAGATCCTGCCCAGAACAAAGAGGGCTTGGGGGAGAAGAAAGGTTCTAGCTGGAGGGTTCTGGAAAAGATTCAGCTAATGGGACCTCATGCTGGTTTTGTGTCTGAACTTAGACTGGCTTTTCGTTTTTGTTGGCAGGAAACCTATAAGTGGATCAGTGCCTGCTACCGGGACAGAGCGTGGCTCGTGGGGGGCAGAGACAGAGGGGGGTGGAGGGCCATTTATCTTCCTTCCTCTGGCTATCCTTTGAAACGGGATCATTTACCATCATTCCTGTCGGCTTGCATCAGAGCTGGGATTTTTTAAAACTGTGAAACGGGCATTTTTGGCTGTAACTGAGTCTAACCATTCAGTCATACAGATGAGACAGAGATCCAGAGAGATTAAATCACTCAAATGTAGCAAATATGGACACAGTTGGAGTGTGAACGTGGGCTCCAGGAATCTTAGTCTGGTGTTCTTTGGTTACTATGTACAGCCTGCCTTTTTTGGTTTGTGTCCAGTTGAATAAAAGGAAGCCCTCCTTTGTCAGAGGCTGCCAAGGCAAGGACAATTGGACATCGTTTCTTTTATTACATAACTAATAGTTTCTTGTTTTTTCTGATTATAAAAGTAGTGCACATTCATTGTGCTTCACACAGCAGAAGGGTATAAAGAAAGTGAAAATCACTGATAATCCCTACATCCTCAGATCACCGCTGTTGATGTTTTTTCTAATACCCTTCCAGTCTTTTTAGTGAGTGTATCATATATATGTGGCCCCTTTTAAAAACAAAAACTGGATCTTACTGTTCAAATAGTTTGACATGTTTTACTCTTTCACATTAAATTAATAGTCTTTAGTAATCTCCATTCTAGCAATCAAAGAAATGTACACTCTTTTTTGGTGCTCAAAAACATAAGGGCATTCGAGTACCAAAAAAAAAAAAAAAAAAAAAGGTGAACAGCTCACTACAAGGATAAAACCAAAAAGAAAATGTAAAGGTTGTAGGCAAAATCATTTTGTAACAGTGCATTTTACTGCCTTCAGAATGTCCTTTACCTCTGACCTGTATTAATCTCCAGTAAGGGAATATCTTTTTAAAATATCCACTTTATTTAAGCCTAATTCATGTACATTAAACTGCATCTATGTAAAGTACCTAATACAGTGGGTTTTAACAGTTGTGTGCATATACCCTGAAAATCACCACCATAATACAGAACATTTCCATCATCCCCAAGCGATTCTGTGTGTCCCTTTTCAGTCCCTACCCCAGCCAGGCAGCCACAGATCTATCTGCCTTTGTAAACTGCAGTTTGCATTTTCTAGAACTTTCATAATGGAGTTGTACAGTATCTACTCTTCTGCGTGTGGCTTCTTTCACTGAGGGTGTATTTTTGTTTGTTTTAATGTAAATTTTAATTGGCACTCCTTACAGAAAAGCACAAAAATCATAACTGTAAAGCTCAACTTACCATTTTTACCAGATGCTTTATCAGGATTAGGTTTCATTAACAGAGACCCAAGATGGTAGTGGCTGAACACAGTAGAAGTTAATTTCTTTCTTACGTAAAAAATCCTGAATCCATGTGATAGCTCCATTCTACAGAATTCTCAGGGACCCAGGCTCCTTCCTGCTCACAAGGGTAGGCCCTTGTCCTCATGTTCTAAAATGGTGACCAGAGTTCCAACCGTCACGTCTGCCTCCCAGGCATTAGGGTGGGAAAAAAGAAAGGATAAACGGCACGTGACAGCTGTCCTTTAAGGCAAGTTCTGGGGAGCCACAATGTAATAATTTGGCCTCATCTCAATGGGCAGTACTTAATTGTGTGACTATACCTAGCTGCAAGAGATGTTGGGAAATGTTTTTTTTTTCTCCCCCCTCGGTCAGCCATATACTTGGGTGAAAGTCAGGGGCTCTTACGACTCTGGAAGGGGAAAGTAGATTGGGGCATAACCCTAGACCCTGTGTCCCAGCCACATGACATTCCCTTGCAGGGCTGTTCTGTAGTGAGGTTAAGCAGCCCTGATGTCTGGGCATATAAGTTTCTTCCCAGAGCTTTGGCTGAGATAAGCCTCGCTGTGAAGCACAGCCTCAGGCCTAGTGTCTAGCCAGGGCCGCTACTGGATCCCGCTAGCCATATGTGGCTGTTTGCGTTTACGTTCGAATTAATTAAAACTTTAAAAAAAAAAAAATCAAGAGTTCCGTTTCTGAGTCACAGTAGGCCCGTTTCAAAGACTCCGTCGCTACATGAGTCTTCAGGGAGTCTCAGTGGCTAGTGACTCCTCTGTTGCCTGAGCAGACAGAAGACATCTACATCATTGCAGAAGCTTCTACTGGACATCACTGCTCTAGGGTGCCCTGCCTGGTGGGCTCACTGTGGGCTTGTCCCTCAGCCCTCCTGAACCTCAGCCGGGCTGCCTTCTGCAGAGCCTGACCTGCAAGCCGTAACACGGTGCCTTGCCCGGGGTCAGCCTACACTCTGCAATCAGAGTTTTCCCTTAGGCCCAGAGCTCTAGGAGCTGGCCTCGGGCAGAATCAGATGGAGCGCTGCCCGTACAGGAAACAGTGACTGCTGCCTGGGTTTCACTGGTGCCCTGTGTCCTGGGTGGTGAGAGTGTTTGCATAACCCACAGGTAGCCTGGGCCGGGCAGCTTCTCTGCTTTTGCATTCTTCCCACGGGGAGGCTAGGAGTGGAAGGAATGGAGTCCCATCCAACCCACCCCAGTTCAGAATTGCAAAGACGGAGCTTCAGGGCGAATGATTGCCTCTGAGTATTGCCATAACCCAGGAAATGGGGAAGGGCTTAAGCACGTCCATCTTCTGAAAATCATGGTATTTTTAGCCCCAGAATAGTTTAGAGCAGATTTAAATGCACAGTGGATAATGATAACTTTCACAGCTGAGCGATCTCGTAGGACATCTGCTCGGATGCTATTCAAACACAATCTGACTGGCTCAGTGTGTTTATTTTTCTTTTGACAGTGATAAGTGGTAGAGGGAGAGAGTGAGGGTTTCAAGATCCATCATAAGGCGATTAAACTGGATCGGTGCCCAGGGTCCCCTTGGAAGGGAGGAGTTTACCCTGCAGTGGCCTCCTGCTCCTCTCTACCTCCCCACCGCCCCCACCGTGGGGAGGTCAGCCATCTAGGGGAAACTGAGGTAGTCCTCATCTGTGTGCCCTGCGGTGAAGGGGTCACAGAAGGGCCAAGAGAGCGGCTGCAGTCCCAGGCCATGGGCACCCTCATCTGTCTTTTCTCTGAGAGCAGTGACACGAAAGGTCAGAAGCATTGCTCTGGAGCTCAGGGCTCATCCACACAGCTCCTGCTTGGATGCTTCCAGTGACTGAGAGCTCACTCCTTCACCTCCAAGTCCTTTTGGTTGGGTGAGGTCAGCTCTTCTGTGCCTTTCATTCACTGACGTGGAGCAGCATAGTGTGATCTACCCCCCTGGAGAGAACTCTGGGGCCAGGCAGCCTGGTCCTGCAGGTACCCCCCGTGTGACCTTGGGCCGGCTACCCACCCGTGTTGGGGGGAGTTTCCTCACCTCGTCCTGAGCATAATCATGGGGCCCACCTTGTAGGAATGTTGTGAAGATTAAACCAGTTAATAATACTGGAAGCACTTAGAGCAGTTCAAGAAGGTTAGCTGTTATTTTCATTATGTCCCCCCAAAATCTGGTCTCCTAAGCCTACCCTTTTTACCTCCCAAGCCCACATGCAGGCCAGAGAGGCACTCCCCTTTGACGTCTGATTGCAGAGGGTTCAGGAAGGTCTCCGACCCTATAGGGGGCTGGGAGGATGGCCGGGCCAAATTTGCCACACCATGGAAGAGGCAAGGCGCAGGGAACAGGGTGGGCCTGGGAAGCCAGGCCCTGGGACGGCATCCCTCACCAGCGAGAGGTGTTCTCGGTGAGCCGCTGAACCTCTGTGAGCCAGCCAGGAGGCGAGGGACATGCGTGTCAGCGTTGTCATGAGAATTCAGAGGAGACCGTGTGCGTGGTGGGCGCACTATAGGCCCTTCGTAAGTAATCTCTCTCTCCTCGTCTGTGTCTAGGAGCCCCTTGTTGGAAGGAAGTCATTGTATCTCTCAATCAGTCCGGAGACAGGTACTGAGGTTGGTTCATCAACTAACCTCCAGAATGGGTCACGTTGCGGTGAAGGGGGCACTGGAGATGGTCCAGGCGGCGGCAGATAGCCATTTCAACAGTCACTGTTTGGATCCTAGGCCTTGGCATGTTGCCATGGCAACTTCAATACAACCATTCAGCATGCTCACCCAACAGTTGGCCTCTTGGCCTCTGTGCTCAGTCACCCTGCATGTCCCCAGGTGTCCTTTCGGTGCCACAGGACCGCCCCTGCTTATCTGCAGCCTCGGGGCAGGCCACAGCTGCACCAGCTTTCCTGGAGGAATGTCACCACCAGAAGGGCCTTGAAAGATTTTATCCACGCCCTGAATTTTATCCCCGAGGCCCAGAACGCTCAGAGAGGTGGAGTCATTGTCCCAAGGTCGCACAGCAATGAGGCAGAGAGAGAACCGCAGGCCGGAGGCCATCCGGCTATCAGTGCATGTGCTTCCAGTGTCTCCCCCTGGCTTCCTTCGTCCGGCTGCTCTGCCAGGAGGGGTGTTTGGGTCTGTTTGGACCCAGCCCTTGGGTGTTCGTACCATCCCCGGTTCACCGTTGCATCGTGCCCCACCTAAAAGGTTAGGGGGTTGTTTCACCCTTCAGCATCTCGGGGCTCCTTCCCCACCGCCTCTCCCCTCTCCTCTTCACATGAGGCTGCCAGAGCCTAAGAGTGTGCCAAGCCAGGAGCTGCCCGCTTCCTGCATCAGTGAGCATGCGCAGCAGGTGCCTGGTGAGGGATGGGTGCTGTCGGGGGCTGATCAAACCCAGAGCTTCCATTACCTGCGTGGGCAGGAAGGGGTTGGGAGGCTTCTGCAGGTACAGACAGAAGTTAGTACCGTAGGAAAACACAGGCTCTCTGCTCGGGCCATGAATGCAGAAGACCCGATTCCTCGTCAGCTCTACCTGCGGCTGTGGGTCGCGGGGTCTACATGGAGTCTGGCCTTTGTAAGGGGGAGAGTGATCCACCTGGAAGCTACTTTGTTGGTCTGTTAGAACAGCCCATAACCTCACTGGGAGACCCTCTAGAGCACAGAAAGAGCGAATTTGTCTAAAATTTGCACGTGCTCATGCCAGCTTTCTGATCATTTTTTAGAGAATTGTTTTACTCTTCCCTTTCCATGTCAATAGCCACGAGAATAGCCAGCAACCAGAGTAAGCCCTGGGATTATTCCCGAGGAAGAGAACAAGATAGATTTCGGGCCCCCTCCACTCCCATCCCCTGTTCTAGGCCTCTTCATTCTGCCCTCGAAGCTTGGAAGAGAGGGTGCTGTTTTATTGGTGTATTGGAAGTAGACAAAAGCTTCAGCTGGGTTCAGTGGTTTTTCATCTGCAATGGCTTTGTGTCTTCGGTCTCCTGGTGAGCGATTGCTGTGTTTAAATGGCCAGCTCTGTTTCTCGGGGTGAGCCTGGCCACATCAGTGCTGCATTTGATGTATTTTATTAGAAATTGCATATCAACCAGAGAAGACATTTTTCCTCCCCGGTTTGTTCTGTTTTTAACCTCATCCGTCAAATTCTATAGGCCTGATGTTTTGAGAGAGAATTCTTTCATTAATAAAAAAACACTTTTTCTTTTTTTTTTTTTGGAGGAAAAGATGTGCTTATTTCATCTCCTATTCGTTACCAATTAGCTTCATATTTTAAGGTCTCTCCATGCACAAATTCATCAGTAGCCACCAGGTAGTATGGAAAAATGCTAGTGGGGTTAGACAGAGGCAAAATACTTGCATTTTCCCTGGTGTCGAGCGCTCTCGGTGCAGGAGCCGGTCATGTGGGCAGGGCTAGGAGCCTGGGGACTTGCCTGAAGTCCCAAATGAGTGGGTACATGCAGATATTACTTGTCATATGTGGTTGTTTGGTTTTCCACGGGATTTGAGGCCCAGCTCAGACGCCCCTTCCTCGGTGCAGGCTTCCCTGCTCTGAAATGAAGCTTGTGGCCCCTGTCACCCCTCCGCTTGCTCTCATCCTTGATGCGCTTTGTGGTCTGTTAGGCCAACTGTATTGTCAGCTCTTCGGGGACAAGCTCTGTGTCTCATTCTGTCTTGGTAGCTCCTCCCTGGGGGCACCCTCAGCCCCCACGTGCCCCGGCACCACCCTCTGGGCCCTGTGTAGAGGTTCCCACACAGGGCATGCTTAGTACACACAGGTTGAAATGAAAATCAGATTCTCAGTCCCTCCTGCGGGATATCCTTTTCTGCCCAGGCTATAATTATGGGCACCCTTTTATTTTCCTATTAGGCCAGCGGTTGGCAAACTTTTTCTGTAAGGGCCACATAGGAAACGCTGTGGGCTTTGTGGCCCATACGGGCTATGTGGCAAGTACTCAGATCTGCTGTTAACAGCACCAAGGTAACCACAGATGGTACGCAAACGAGCAGGGGGGCCTGGCCTCCAGGTCATTTACAGAAACAGGCAGTTGGCCCTTAGTGTGCTGATCCCTGAACCAGATTGTCAGCTTCTGAAGAGGCAGCTCTCGGTCTTACCTGCCTTGGGTGTAGCAGAGGGCCCTGGGAGAGCGGGGTGGGGGTGGGGGGCCCACGAATGCTTGTATAGGGGTAATTAAGTGAAACAAAAGGCCGAAACTTGAACAGCACATTTGCAGACATACTGACCCAGCAACGCCACTCCCAGGCACACACCCAACAGAAATGCCTGCGTGTAGTCACCCAGGGCCACCCAGCCTGGCCACAGCAGCACCATTTGCAGTGGCCCCAAACTGGGAACTACCCAGTTTGGCAAGAGAATGGCTGAAAAAAAAACATGGTACTGTATTCACCCTGTAGAATGCAAGGAGCGCTGGGTGTTCTATGCAACTGATGAATCCCTGAACTCTACCTCTCTGAAACTAATACTACATGATAAGTTAATTCCATTTATTTATTTATTTATAAAAGATTTTATTTATTTATTTGACAGAGAGAGAGGGAACACAAGCAGGGGGAGTGGGAGAGGGAGAAGCAGGCTCCCCGCTGAGCAGGGATCCCAATGCGGGGCTCGATCCCAGGAATCTGGGATCATGACCCGAGCCGAAGGCAGGTGCTTCACTGACTGAGCCACCCAGGCGTCCCTCCGTTTAAATAAAATAAAATAAAAAAAGAATGCAATGCAGCAATGAAAATAAATGTGCCGTATGTAAAAATACAGCTAAAACTCATAAACATGATGTCGAAATGAGACAAGGAGACACCAATGATTGCATTCGATTCTAATATAAAATTTAAAGACAGGTGAAGCAAATCTATGTTGTTAGAAGAGTGGTTACCTTTGTGTGGGGGTGGTGACTGGGAGGGGGTGTGAGGGTGGCTTTCTGGGGCACTGGTTATGTTCTGTTTCTCAACCAGGGTGCTGGTTCCCAGGGTGTGTTCAGTTTGTGAGAATATCACCAAGCCGTATATTTATGACCTGCATACCTTTCCATGTGAATGTTGTCATTCAATCAGGCCTTCGATTAAAGAAAAAAAGGAAAGAGGCAGTTTGTCCAAACAGTATCTGACCAGAGCCTACAGTCAGCCATTCTAATTCTCCGGCTGATGCTCCCCAACAGCAGCTTCCTCCTGACCCCGGACCTGGGCTCTTGGGTTCCTCTAAACGGGAACGTAGAAGCCTGGCGCCTTCTTTCACTCTGGCAGTCAGGGTGCAAGAGCAGAAGCTGGGGCGGTGCGGGGGCCAGTGGAGCGTTCTGAGCGTGGGCCAGGGGCCCTGCCCCTCCCCCGCTCCCCCCAACCTTCCAGTAGCCTTGTCTGCGGCGGGCGTGTGACGGGCATCCCGGGGCTTCCTTGTCTCCTTCATAGAACATTGTAGCGGTGGGAGCCGGGTTCTGCGACGGCCTCCACAGCGGGGACAACACCAAAGCTGCCGTCATCCGCCTGGGGCTCATGGAAATGATCTCCTTCGCCAAGATCTTCTGCAAGGGCCAGGTGTCCACGGCCACCTTCCTGGAGAGCTGCGGCGTGGCCGACCTCATCACCACCTGCTACGGAGGCCGGAACCGCAGGGTGGCCGAGGCGTTTGCCAGAACCGGGAAGGTAGCCCCTGGCCTGTCCTAACCCTCCCCCACAACCCACCCGCCCGCCCGCCCGCCCGTCCGTCCGTCCGTCCGTCCGTCCGTCCACCCTCATTGAGAGCCCTGGGCTGGGGCGAGCCCTTGCTGGGCGCATCCCGCTGACACCTGTCTGTTTTCGCTTAAAAGTACTAATGCCCGAGCGCTCTAGCTTGTAGGTCTCTCTTTCCCTGGTTTACAGCCGAGGATGGCAGCTTCCCTCCGCCACTGTCCTCTTGAAATAAGTGATTCTGTGGTCTTTTCTTTTCCCAAAGATTGATTTATTTGAGAGAGAGCACACGCATGTGCCCAGTCGGGGAGGGGTGGGAGCAGAGGGAGAGAGAATGTCAAGCAGACTCCACTCTCAGCACGGAGCCCAACCTGGGGCTCCATCTCACGAGCCTGAGATCCCCACGACCTGAGCCGAAACAAAGAGTCAGACACTTAACTCACTGCGCCAGCCAGGCGTCCCCACTCTAGTCTTTACAATAGTGTTTTCATCCTTGTTTTTAAGACCATCGAAGAATTGGAGAAGGAGATGCTGAATGGACAGAAGCTCCAAGGACCTCAGACGTCCGCTGAAGTGTACCGGATCCTGAAACAGAAGGGGCTAGTCGACAAGTAAGTCCCCCCCACTGTCCCTGTGACCAGAGGGCCACCCCCTGCTTCCCCCATGACCACCAGCCCAGTCAGTGCACATGGGCACAGCTGTGTGCAGAACTCCACTGGAATAGTTCCGCCCTCATGTGATGTGAACATCTGTGGCAGGAAACTTCTGCCTGCCCTGAAAACGAGTGTTGACACAGAACCAAGCTCAGCTTCAGGGGGAAGAACTCAATTTTTTTTTTTTTTTGAGAGAGAGAGAGAAAGAGAGTGTGCACACACACAAGAGAGCAAGCAGGGAGGTTGGCGGGCGGCGGGCGGCGGGCGGCGGGGGCGGGGGGTGGGGGAAGTAGGCAGGCAGGGCAGAGGGAGAAAGAAAATCTTAAGCGGGCTCCATGCCCAGTGCAGAGCCTGACACAGGGCTCGATCCCACGACCCTGAGATCATGACCTGAGCCGAAACCAAGAGTCGGATGCTTAACCAACTGAGCCTCCCAGGCGCCCCAAGAACTCAATTCTCTAAAGCATGTTACAAAACATGAAGTTTGAGGTCCTGGTTTATCCTGCAGGGTGTCTGGTTAAGAGCTACATGTCATAAGTTTTGAATTAAAAAAAAAAGATTACCTTGTTATTTGTTATAAAAAGATAGTCTTGTTAATAAAAGGTCAGACAATTCGGAAAAGAAGAAGGTACAAGTTACCCCAGAATTCTACCACTAGCAATGACCTGCGTTAAGGTTTGCTGAGCAGCTTTGCAGTCTCTGTGTCCTGTGGATGGATGGGTGCCTCTAGCCTCCACTGCCCTTCCGGGATGGTCAGTTGCTAAAGGTGGGCTGGGGACAGCCTGATTTGCCACCTGATTGAGGGAATAAACCCCATAGCACCACAAAGCTGCCGACCTCTCTGCGGTTGCCAGGTGGCCCTTTATCTCGCTCATTTGCTGAGCCTTCTTCCGTAGCCACGAGGCCAATGACACCATCTAATAACTGCGTACACAGCATATTCTGTGTATCCTTCACTCTTCGGGAGGGAGGGGGGAGGTTTGCTTGCCTGGGAGAGGAGGGGGCTGGGCAGCTGTGGGGACACTGCCAGGTGTGGCCAATCCAGAGCACACACTTCTCCCTGAGCCGGTGATGGTTATAGACGTGTTGGCTGGTTCTCTGGTATGTCTCCTTCCTGCTCTTCGGCTCAGTCCAGATGTCTGCTAGTCCCAACCACCGACCTTTACCTCCCCTTCACCCAGCTCTCCTCCTCTCTGGACCACTACACACTGATCAGCCATAGAGTGCCCCATGGAAAGTTGAAAAGGAGGGAGGACAGGACATTCGTCTTCCTTCTTTAATTTGCATTTTATTTTTCTGAAATGGCTTTCAGAACCAGCTAGGCAGAGATGGAAGTCATAAACAGGCCTCCAGAGGAGGAGAATTACCTTTAAATTGTGGCTAAAAGGAAAACACCTCCAGTGGGCACGGTTTTCCTTACATACTTAAGGGCAAACGGCGATGTGTTTGTGTGGTGGGGCTACTTTAATGACCGTTATCCGGAGTTTTTTGGTTTTTTTTTTAAGATTTTATTTATTTATTTGAGAGAGACAATGAGAGACAGAGAGCACAAGAGGGAAGAGGGTCAGAGGGAGAAGCAGACCCCCCGCTGAGCAGGGAGCCCGATGTGGGACTCGATCCCGGGACTCCAGGATCATGACCTGAGCCGAAGGCAGTCGCTTAACCGACTGAGCCACCCAGGCACCCGGAGTTTAAGTCTTAAGAAACTACTTGGGTGTTTGTGGATGCTGATGATCTCCTAATCACGGTTTTAAAGTGCCATCTGTCCACTACCATGGGGCATATTTGATAGGATCCTATGAATGGATGAGTCTGTGTTCATCGTGGAACTTGGGGAGGCTATGGATTGGAACTGGTGTTCTGGGATCAGTACCTGTGCCTGTTTTTAAAAAAGCAGGGGTAATCAAGCAGGTGAAACTTGGCTCTGAGCAGATGCCTCTCCTCCATCATGTCCCATTTTCCTTCTCCTGATTAGAAATGGAACAGGCTGTGCCTGGGCTTAATGAGGCCACTGCCGGGTTGGAGGGGATACCACGCTTCCATTCTCCCTTGATTTTTTTTCCCTTTGTCATCCCAGCCATCGCTACTCTACTCGGGTCTTCCTCTCTTTCCTTCTTCCCCCCTTCTCTTCTCTATGGTTCTAGAAAGAGCGCTGAGCGGGAGGGCAGCATTTCCAGCCACCTGGTGGCTTACTAGCCATGTGGTCTTGGGCAGGTCATATTTTTATCTGTGCCTCAGTTTTCTTTACCCACCAAATCAAACTGGTGCACCTGATGATTGCCATGGCGCCTTCTGCCTCGAGTATTCTAATTCGCAAGCCTCCTGCTCATCCAGAATGAGTCCTTAGGTTGGCATTTGGGGCAGCGCCACTCCGTTCTGTACGCATGGAACTTTCTAACACCATGTCCTGTGACGCCGTACAACCCCTTCTTCAGTTGAAGCAGACCTCCCTTTGCCCCGAGACCCCTTTCTCAGGGGCTTCTGTGCACCTCTGTCCTGCTGTTTGGCCTGCCTGGACAGCCCTCCTCGATGGCATGTCAGCCCGCCCCGACCACCCTTGAGACGGCCTGGGTCTGTCCTCAGAGCAGCCTTCATCCACCTCCTCCAGACGCAAACAACTTTCCCTACTTTGACCATGCCGTTTACACCAGCGATTGGCAAACTTTTTCTGTAAAGAACCACATAATAAATATTTAGTCTTTGCAGCCCACATACAGCTCTGTTGTATATTCCTTTTTTTTTTTTTTTTTCCTTTTATGGCCCTTGAATCGTCCTTAGCTTGCAGGCAGTGCAAAACAGACCCCAGGTCAGGTTTGCTTCTCAGGCTGTGGTGTGCTGACCCCAGGTTTAGACAGTCCCGCTGCTCATGTGCCGTGGCTCTTACATAAACACACAATTTTACTTTCATTCTTCTAGATTTTTGCGGGGGTGGGCAACATGCTCCTGGTTTAAAAAAAAAAAAAAATTCAAATCCTAGAAAGAGGCACCCAGTGAAAAGTGATCCCCACCTTCGACACAGGCAGCTCTCCTGAGTTTTTAGTGTATCCTTCCATTTACGGAATGGACACTGTGCTCCACGTTCTGCCCTGCTTTTCTTCACTTGAGGGTGATTTGAAGATCTGCACCAATAGATCTGCACCAATAGATCTCATTTAATGGCTGCAGAACATTCCACTGTGTGGGAGAACCACAGTTTATTTAACCAGTCTTCTCCGGATAGACAGTAAAGTTGTCTGGGGTTTTCTGCTGTTACAAATTTTGCTTTATTAAATTTCCTTGTGCATGTATCTTTATGAGCATGTGTATCAGGTGTTTGTATTCGTTTGCTAGGGCGGCCATAACAAATTACCACAGACTGAGAGGCTTACCCAGCAGAAATTTCCTTCTCATGGTTCTGGAGGCTAGAAGTCTAAGATCAAGGGGTCAGCAGGTGCCTTCACCTGAGGCCTCTCTTCTTGGCTTGTAAATGGCCATCTTCCCCCTGGGTCTTCATGTGGTCTTCCCTCTGTCCATGGATGAGTCCTAATCTCCTTTCCTCATAGGGACACCATATTGGTTTGGGGCCCACACTTTATGAACCCTTTTAATATAATTACCTTCGTAAGGGCCTTATGTCCAAATACAAGTACTGGGGGTTAGGACTTCATTGGATGAGTTTGGGGGCTGAGGGCACAACTTAGTCCAGAACAGTGTTGTAAGCTCCTTGAGGGCTGGGGCCTTATTGATAATACTCCACATCCTGCACATGGTTGAAGATTGACACATCTTAAGTCCTCAGTGCCCATTAGTGGGATGGCTAATTGCTCTAGCTTATGCAGGTATTTTTCAATGAAATACTGTCTTTTGTCCTCCTTTCATCTCTAACCTCATTTAGATAGCTCCCCAAACTGATCTAATTGGCTTTATAGCATTTTATGTTATATAAAATAACATTTAGATGGGCAGTCTAGCCTAGGGGTTGAATCTTGGCTCCAGAGTCAGAAACTATGCCTCAGTTTCCTTATCTATGGAATGGGGATAATGTTATTACCCACCTCATAGGGTGGTTGTAAGGATTAAACAAGTTACTTGTCCATAAAAAATTCCCTCCCCCTCCCCACCCGTACTCCAAATCTCTTGTTAGCATCCCATCTACACAATTTGGAAGTGCTGATTGTGAAAGTCGGGAGCACTTCTGGCTGCAAGAGCAATGCCCAGTTTAAAATGCCTCAAACAATAGGGTTATTTTTCTCATGGAACAAGGATTCTGGAGGTGGACATTATTGGTGTTGGCACAGTGCCTCTAGCTTAGAATCTCTGATCCTGTTGGTCTTCCCTCAAAACCTCAAGATGGCCGCAGCAGCTCCATGCATCACATACACAGCTGCACTTAGTGACATGGAGCAGGTGCAGTCTGGGGGAGCAGAGTTTTCTTCCAGTGCCTCTCAAGGAGAGAGTGTCTTCCCCAGAAGCCCTCAGCAGAAGTGTCGTTTCTTGCTCTCTAGAATTTGCTTCCTTGGCTAATTCTAGGAGAAAGTAAGGCTGGGAAACTGAGCGTTAGGCTATTTGCAACGTTGGTAAAGAGTGAAGGGGTTTGGGAATGGCTTTGGGTGGCCGTTCATCACCTGCCACCCTGCTTTGGGGACACACAAGTTGTTCTCATCATGGGGTCAGGACATCTAAGCCATGGAAAGACGACGGGCTAAAATCTGCAGGCTCTAACTCCCATTCCCAGTAGTTCATTCAACAAATATTCGCTGAGCACCTGCCCTCATCTGTGCACTGTGCCAGGCCCCAAGGATGCAGAGGTGAATAAAACACCTGGGGCCTTGTCCTCCAAGAGCTTGCTAGGACCTAGTGGCCATCTTGTGGCGGTGTATATAAACTGTCACTGCACACCCACCATGTGCCAAGTGTTACACTCTGCAGGTTACATGTAAGTCACTTCATACAACAGGCCTTAACACAAGAGATCCTGCCCCATTTTACAGAGCGGTTATGAAACGCCCAGAGCGGATAGATTGTGGGGTCAGATTTGACTGCCTCCCTGACTCCAAAAAAAATTAAAACATTCTGTACCTTAAAAAACCCACAGTGATAAGACATATGGCCTATCAGGGCTGTTTGCCATTCTTAAATTAAGTTGTCATTATAGGATTCCAACTAGATAATTTTCAAAATGGCCTTTAAGACTTTATTGATCCTGTCAAGCTTACTTTGGGCTCTGTGTGTGTGTGTGTGTGTGTGTGTGTTTAAAAGCCTGATTGAAATTAACTTTGTTATTTCCTTAGTAATACCTACTATTTAAAATACTTGCTGAGCCAGCTGGTCCCTGGGATAATGCTGTCCTTTCTCACGGTGGATTATTAGCTCACACCTTTGTACTTCAGCCATTTCAAACTTTCACTTATATCTGTGTTCATATCTTGGAAAAAAAGGCAAAATGCGCCCAGCTTTCCACTGGAGATCAGTGCTTTGCTAATTGTGGGCGCCCACGTTGATTGCTGCAGGAATGTTCCAGACCCGAACTATTTATGGTGATGTGTGGGCCGCCTCATCTTTCTCCTTGGATGATCCCTTTTGGAGGAGAGAGAGCAATACCTCCTTGCAATTCAAAATTTATTCTCCAGTCTTTTAAATTATTGACAGAAACTTGGACTCATTCCAGACTTGCCCAAGAGCCTGAGCTACAGCTCTTCATGTAAATAACCACAGATGGCCCTGCAAGGATTACCATGGGACTCGTTTGTAGACTTGTGCACCGCGAACAAGTAGGCAGAGGGTGGTCTAGGTCATACCAGCATCTTACAGCCACAGTGCAGTGGCTCTCTGCCCACCAAATAATAGAGGAATATAGAAGGCAGTCACTTTGTTGTTGTCCAAAGTAGCACATCCATCTGCAATCTGTTAGGCAGGAGAGGAAGACTCATTTGTTCTGTGAGGTAAACCAGATGGCTCAACTTGTCTTTTTTCACATTTCCTCCCAACCAGGTTCCCGTTGTTTACGGCAGTGTATCAGATCTGCTATGAAGGCAGACCTGTTCAAGAGATGTTGTCTTGTCTCCAGAGCCACCCAGAGCACGTATAAAGTGGATGGTGCAGCGTGTCGGGGAACGTGCTGCCTTTCTGATCAGTCTTTTTCATTCAAATGGAAACTGGGACTGGGCAACATGATGTTCGCTTGACCATAATCCTGTCATGGGTGCGGATGCATTTTTACCAATTCATTTCTGAATTGCGAGACACAATTCACTGGCTAAGATGTGGTGGGCAACAAATAGACACGTGTGAATGTGTGAGTCTGTTCATTTCTCATGCTGTGGATGTTTCTATGAACCAAAATTAAAGGTCCTTTTTAAAAATTACTTTTGAAATTTTCCCACCGTGGTAGCTTAGAAGATGGGAATGATCTCAGCTAAATTTTTTACATCGAATCCATATGCATTTGAGTGAACCAGCATTAACATGGTAGAACGGACGAGTGAGTGTGTTCAAAGATCAACATACTGTAACTTAAACTCTATCTCAAAGCCAGCATAATTAACTACTTTGATTGTGGGTTGATCTTTTTTTTTTAACAATTAGAGATTTTTAATTAGGTGATCCACTTATGTATCTTCCTCTTTGCAGTTTTCTGTATTTTTAGCCTCTTTTCTCTTCATTAGCTGCCAGAGTGTGCTTTCATAAAGGTTCAGCAGTGGTGGAAGACAGAAAATGCATCTGGGATTTTCCTGCTGTGACTGACACATTCTACTGATTAATACACTTGTATGATGCTTTTTGCTGGGTAGTCCTTTTGTGCAAACATTTCCTCTAAGCCTCACAGATCCACTGAGATGGGACTCCTGTTACTCCTCTTTTGAGTTGCAGTCACAGTGCCTGGTCACCTGGCGAGTAGGGGCAGAGCTGGGAGTCAAGTCCAGTCTTCCTCCACCCCACCAAGGTGCCCAGACCTCAGGCATCACTGGGCTGATCCCGGTGATGGTTGGTTGTGACAGATGCCATGCGCAGCCTTTCCTGAGACTAACAGGGCTTCCTGCAGCTGAGGTTTGTGTGGGTCCTGTCTAGGTGGATGCCACTCAGAGTGTGGTCCTCACTCCATCAGCTCCACTTAGAGTCTCTTAGAAATGCCGGCTTCCAGGTCCCACCCCAGACCTCTGAAGTGGGGTAAGGTATCTATACTTTAATATGCCTTCCAGGTGTTTCTGATGCTCACTACAATTTGAGAACCACTACTTTAGAAATTCTACTTGGATTGGCATTTCTCAAACCATGTTCCATAGGACAGGAGTGTCCTGTGATCCCATGGTTATTTGGGGAGTTCTCTGGCAAGGTCAAGTGCATTTGGGAAAAGCTGCCTCTGCACGCCTCTCTTGAAGGCGAAGAATGTATGTTAGTATGTCAGTAGGCCTTATCTAATCCAGCAAGTTCCAAACAGCTTAGACTATGAAGATTTTTTTTGGCAGAGGATCTTGCCGAATTTTCAAGGGATCACTGTTCTAGGCTATGGTGACCTGAGGACAGCTCAAGTATACCCTTTACTCCCTGCAGAAGTTAGGATGAATAACTACCTACCTGTGGTATCGTTAGCTCTGAACTTTTACAGTTCAGGCCTGCAATGAATCTTGGATGAAGCTTTAAGGTGACACTGTCAAGTACAACCAAGTAGATGTCAACCTCGCTGAAACGCACATTATGTCGAATAAGTGCTTTTAAGTCTAGAATTAGAATGGGGATTCCTGTATCTTCTTAAATGAGATTGATTTCAGGATAGCATTATAGTTACCTTACATAGCACTTGTTAAGTGTTAAAGAAAGGTCTGAATGTCACTTATATATTCATGGATTTTCAGTCACTTTGTGAGATTTTTGACTTTTGTTTGTTTTTTAATTTTCCAGTTTGGGACTTGTTTTCCTTCTATACCTGAAATGATTGTAGAATAGATTTTTGGGGGGAATTTTAAAAACTCAATCCAAAACATTCTGGAGGGGGTGCATTTTAAATCCTCATACACAGAAGTCTATGAAAGCACACAAAATCTACAAGTGTCATTGATTTTTCGTGCCACTGTTAAGTTAATCAATTTTTGCTTGTCTCATGATCTTTTTAAAAATTTGTACATAGATAACAAAGTGTTACTTTTTAAGATACTTAATAAAGGGCTGTAAGCTAGTTGTGGTGTCTGTTAAGTAGGATGATTAGATGTGAGGAATTAGGATTTTGTTTTATGTATATTCTCATCTGCATTCAGCTTCCTCCTCTGGGTTTTGTACTTGTTTTTTCTTTATGAGTGTTCTCTTGCCAATCTGAAGTCCACTGACTGTACCTCTTGAACATAACTTCTGATATCCTGCACATTAATGGAAAAAGGCAAATTTTGTAAGTTTGTGATCTGCTGACTGTAGATATTTATTACTCTACAAGTTATCTATTTTTGTAACCACCTGTGGTCCATCATTTAATTTTAATTCTCATTCCTTACTAATCATGGTAATAGGGAGGGAGACATCTAGAGGAAAAAGCTTAATTTATACTAGTTCAGCCAATCTGTGAATGTAAAAACTTCACTGTTGCCTTGCTATAATCTAGCCTACTATAATGTGGAACAAATATCTGTCTTGAAATCCATCCTAGCAGGTGGAGTCGAGTTAGACTCCTTCTGGTTTTTCATTTAACTGTCAACTAAAACCTGGCCCCATGGCATCAGCCCACGGAGTGATGAGGTGCCCGTGTACGAAGGGATCTTTCATTTTTCCACCACTTCTAATCTAAGAGCCTTTTACTTAACATGTATACTGTATCTGTTTACAGACTATAGGTGGATATAATTTAAAAGCTTGATTTAATAAACATTTAATGCCCCAAACCTGTGCTACTGGCCCTTTTTTCAATAATCAGCTTAGTTAAGAGTTTTATTTATCTGATCCCTGATAGGGTTCCTCCCAAAAAAAAAAAAAAAAAGTTTTATTTATCTGGGTCAGCTCTTTTTTCCCTGAATTGTGTTGCATTAACAATAATAGAAAAGTAATTTTTTATTTTTTTATTTTTTATTTATTTTTTTAAAGATTTTATTTATTTGAGAGAGAGAGAATGAGAGAGAGCCCATGAGAGGGGGGAGGGTCAGAGGGAGAAGCAGACTCCCTGCCGAGCAGGGAGCCCGATGCGGGACTCGATCCCGGGACTCCAGGATCATGACCTGAGCTGAAGGCAGTCACTTAACCAACTGAGCCACCCAGGCGCCCCAGAAAGGTAATTTTTTAAAAGAAGAGTTTCCTCTCTAATCCCACTCCTCAGACACACTATTTCCATTTGCATTCCTTCCCGTGGTTTGGTGATATTTTTATACAATCATAATTGTAGGATGGAGGCCTTCCAGTTCCAGCCACACAGTGCAGTAATAAATTTTAATTAACTTTTAAAGATTTTATTTATTTGCTGGAGAGAGATTGAGAGAGAGCACAAGCAGGGGGAGCAGCAGTGGGAGAGGGAGAAGCAGACTCCCCACTGAGCAGGGAGCCCTGTGGGGCTCGAACCCAGGACCCTGGGATCATGACCTGAGCCGAAGGCAGAAGCTTAACTGACTGAGCCACCCAGGCGCCCCTGGAGTAAGGAATTTGAAATCCACGCCACCACCACCTCAAATACCTAGAAAAGCTAGGAAGATATAACCAGAGTCCCTTTTATATGCAGGGCTGATCTCACAAGAATGTGAGGGAAATCCCAGGAGGCTAAAATAATTGGGGACTGACAGCCAGACAGTAAAGTCGTGGGGTGGCTCTATTGCTTCCAAGAGAGGGAGTGGGAGTACTCTCCATTGTCTGAGGGTTTGGGTTATAAAGCTTAACGCTAGAACTAGAGCCTTCCAAGAGCTACACTGTCAGGGGAAGAAATGGGCTAAGAAAACCCATGGATAGGCACAACCAAGGAAGGGGTTCCAGGTGGAGAGAAAGGTCTCTGCTGAAAACTTGTAATCATGAGTCCAACACCACAAACAGGTTTTGGGTTCGAATTTTGATATCCAGATCACAAGCAAAAAGCAAAAAAAAGGGAACATAGGCTAGTAATGCCAGTAAAGAAGAGGCAGAAGCAAACACAAAATCACTGCAGAAATCCACTCTGGATCCAAGCTGCACAGGCCTCATAAATAAGGTCCCACTGAACATGCCCTTCAAAAATTAGAAAATAATTACAGAATAACAAGGGTTGGCCAGGGTGCAGAGAAAAGGGAATCCTCATGCACTGTTGGTGGGAACGTAAACTGGTATAGTCACTGTGAATGGCTTTTAAGGACTATGGAGTTTGCTCAAAATACTAAAATTAGAGTTACCATATATTCCAGTAATTCCCCTACTGGGTATTCACCCCAAAATGAAAACACTAATCTGAAAAGATAAATGCACCCTTGGGGCGCCTGGGTGGCTCAGCCTGTTGAGTGGCTGACTCTTGATTTCGGCTCAGGTCATGATCTTGGGATCCTGGAGAGTCTGCTTGTCTCCCTCTCTCTGCGCCTTCCCCCGCTCATGCTCTCTCTCTCTCTCTTTCAAATAAATCTTTTTAAAAAAATAAGTGACTTAAGTAACTGAAGCAAGCCCTGTTACCTTGTGGATTTCAAATTCATTACTCCAGGGATGCCTGGGTGGCTCAGTCAGTTAAGCATCTGCCTTCGGCTCAGGTCATGATCCCAGGGTCCTGGGATGGAGCCCCGCATCAGGCTCCCTGATCAATGGGGAGTCTGCTGCTCCCTCTCCCACTGCTGCTCCCCCTTTGGTTTGGATGGGAGGTATAGTAGTGGGGCAAGTGGGAATGCTATCATGCAGTCTAGCTCACAGGATAACTTGTAAAGGTCAGTGAAAAGCAGGAAATCTCATTAACATTAAAGGAGAAAACCCACATGATCATATTAATAGCTGCTGTGACAGAGACAATTCTACATGTTCACCAAATTAATTTTTTGTGAGATACACAGTTAAATTATATTTCTCAGCAGCCCAACAGTTAGGTGATTGAGTTCTGGCCAATGGCATAGGAAAGAAATGCCATTTGTTTGATTCTTTGTTCTTGGGTATGCTGATTGGATTTCAATTTCCAGGATGACTTGGAAGCTATCTGTTGAACAGAGTAGAGCCTCTTTAAGCCTGGATCCCTACATGACTATGTGGAGAACATCGCCCCACCCTTGGTCCACATTGTATTGTAATAGGTACAAAAATAAAAACTCACTGTTGTGTTACACCCCTGAGACTCAGGAGCTATTGTTAACAGCAGCTGGCATAACTTACCCTAAGATGTTGCTAAAAAGATGTTTGAGGGATTAAGGGCTGGGGCTTGCGGAAATATCAAGAGATTTGGGAGAATTTATCCATTGGTCATTAGAGCATCGTGGTTAGTATCCATTTGGGCATCTTCTGTTTGGACCAAGAGGCCGTGTAGGAACGTGGGTGGGTAAGCCTGTGGCTATGTCTGTCTGTTCCTCTCCTCAGGACTTTGTGTATATAATTGTCCCTCTTTCTCCAGAATAATACCAGCAAGTTCCAGGATTTATAACATGTGCTTCTTTAACACTAGAGTGTCCTCCTGCTCTTATTTATTTGTAAATATTCTTGAATGGCTATCCCAGTCACTTGTTCAAAAATAAAGTCTATTGTCCGTTTCCCAACTAGCCACTGTTACTAGTTTCTAATGTACCCTTCTAGAATTTAATTTTATTTATTTATTTTAAAGATTTTATTTTTTTTTAAAGATTTTATTTATTTATTTGAGAGAGAGAGAGCACAGGAGAGGGGGAGGGCCAGAGGGAGAAGCAGACTCCCCGCTGAGCAGGGAGCCCGATGCGGGACTCGATCCCGGGACTCCAGGATCATGACCTGAGCCGAAGGCAGTCGCTTAACCACCTGAGCCATTCAGGCGCCCTAAAAGATTTTATTTTTAAGTAATCTCTACGCCCAATGTGGGGCTCGAACCCACAACCTCGAGATCAAGAGTGGCACGCTCTCCCAACGGAGCCAGCCAGGTGCCCCTCCAATTTCATTTTACATAAATCTATATTCTTATTCCCTTTTCCATTTTTCTACACAAAATAGCACTTACTAGAGACATTGTTCTGCATCTTGCTTTTTTTCACATAACATTCTGTCTTGACAATCTTTTTTTTTTTTAAGATTTTATTTATTTGAGAGAGACAGCGAGAGAGAGCAGGAGTGGGGGGGGTGGACGGAGGGAGAGGGAGAAGCAGACTCCCCACTGAGCAGAGAGCCCCAGGATCCCGGGACCCTGGGATCATGACCTGAGCTGAAGGCAGATGCTTAACCGACTGAGCCACCCAGGCGCCCCTTGACAGTCTTTCTTATAGGTTGCTTGTTTTAAACTGCATTTTTAAAAACTTTCTTTTTTGAAATAATTATAGGTTCACAGGAGTGAACCTATATTTGTATATATGAATTTATTTAATCCTCAAAATTTATCATCCCCTGATACGGAGGAGGACACTGAGATACAAAGAGGCCAAGGAACCTGGCAAAATCACAGATCATCATTGATAAAGGCAGGATTTGAACTCTGACTTAAGAGTTTGTGTTCCTAATTTATGGGCTACACTACCTCCTTAGAAGAATGGCCGTTTGTAGTTAAGCAAAATCAAACAACTCTTTCTGCCAATTTGCAAACATGTCCTAGGTTCATGCATGTATAAGATTTTAAAATACTGTTCTAAAACTTTCTTTTTTTTTTTTTTTTAAGACTTTATTTTTAAGTGATCTCTTCACCTAATGTGGGGCTTGAACTTACAACCCTAAGATCAGGAGACAGAGGCTCTACCCACCAAGCCAGCCAGACACCCCTAAAACCTTCTTTTACAGGGGCTCCTGAGTGGCTCAGTCGTTAAGCGTCTGCCTTCGGCTCAGGTGATCATCCCAGGGTCCTGGGATCGAGCCCCGCATCGGGCTCCCTGCTCCGCGGGAGGCCTGCTTCTGCCTCTCCCACTCCCCCTGCTTGTGTTCCCTCTCTCGCTGTCTCTCTATCTCTGTCAAATAAATAAAATCTTAAAAAACAAACAGACCTTCTTTTATAGTCTTAATATTGAAGCATATGAATCTCCCATATCCTTTAAATATCTGCATCATATTTTATTTATGACTATTCCATAATTTATTACAGATGAATATTTAAGTTGTTTTCTCCATTTCTCTTATTACAATAATTGCTGCAGTAAATAGCCTTTCACATGGTTCTCTGCTCACTTATGTGAGTAAATCTAAAGGGTAACGTCCTAGAAGTGGAACTGTTGACTCAGAGGTCCGTGTGTTTGATATTTTAACAGACGCTGTCACATTAACCTTCAAAAGGATGACTTCAATTCATGCCTCTGACCTCACTTTCTTTCCTAATTACTACTATAATCTACTATTAGGGATTCCTTTATAAGAGAGACCTGAAGTGAACCAATACATCCAAAAAATGTGCAATTTTGTATTCATCACGACTTTAGAGTCTCTCCTCCCTGTTGCACAGGAAAAAGTAAAATTTTCTTGTTCCAAACAACTTTGTTCAAGTAACCGTCTTAACTAACAGTTGTAATAGCTGATGGTGCCAAGGGCTTATATAGGCACAGAATGGGTCATTCAGTTAGCCAGTTACAAGGAAGGTTGAAACAAGAAACATTAATAAGATTTTTAAACACCACACATTCACTGTTTCAGTCAAACCCCAGAAGGCTCTTGTAAAAAAAAAAACAAACACAAAAACAGCTGAAAGGGTAGCTAAGATGCTCCTTTGAGAAAATTCTGGGTTCCAGTGAACTATGACACTCTTGTCCACTAGAGGTCACTCTTTGGGAAGGCCTTTGCCCTAGGCTATTGGCAGCATGCAAAA